CTTAGACGCCCCCCTCATTAAGAGCCATCAGCCTTCCCCATCTGGAGATTTTAAACTGACCATTGATCACAACGGACTTCATACCATTTCCCGCAAAGGTGTAACCAAAATAATAATCCCAAAAACACTCACCAACGAACTACTTCAATCAGTACACACATAATTAAAACCACCCAGGCATCTCACAGATGACGAGACTCATCTCCGCTTAATATTATTGGCAGGACATGTCACAAGACATTGCACAAAAGGTCAAAACCTGCCCAACCTGCCAATTGACAAAGCGTATCGATAGACCCAACCAACATCTCCAAAGAGACATCGATACAGTCCACGTACACAAACTAAACCCGTACACAAAAACATCCATTACATAACATCACCCATGGCAAAAACACGCCATCTACGACATAAGAATAATTACACGTTTCCATTCAAACATCTTACCCCCGACATTTTTCCAACGGAGCCACTGACAATCAAACCGACGAACAGCAATCCTTTCATTCATTTAGATCTCACCATTTTCACCAAAACCCGATTTATACCCTTCACCCATAACAAAAAACACGACATCGCCCATCCACAGATAGATCCAATCATAAATAATCCTCCACCCAATTCGCCACAACAAATCGAATTGCAACACAACCCACAAAGAAATCCTCTCATGGAGAAAATATTGGAAAACATGTGCAGATTCCCCATATTCCACTTAATACTTTTTACCTGTCTTCTGACTATGCCATACTCCCTCGCCCCATTAACCATAGTAATCTACCTTGGACTATATGCCCAACAGCCCCAAAGGCTTTACCAATTACAGGAAGCCATCTTCCATATAGGTAGTGCCTTCCATACGTTTCTAACTCTCGTCCTGGACATCCTGGGAGAAAACTTCCAGCGGACATTTAGATCGCCCCAGATCAATCACGGGAGGGGGAGTCAGAATTAATTTAGGAAATCCCCGCATGGGCCCCCCTCGCTTCCGTTCAGAATAAAGACTCCAGTTCGATTGAGGTCACTTCTTGGCCTCCCGACTTACAAAACTTATTAGAGCTCTGAGAAGCGGTCTGGTGGATTAAATTGGCGAAACCGCTGGGAGTGTTCACCACTGATGAGCCAAGCCCTCCCAATATATTTTTTCATCGCAGTAAAGACAGTAGAAGCTCGTTTTATGTATAAAATAAACATTCGCGCTTTTAAATCCTTTTATTTTATATATATAGATGGCGCGTTATTGCTTTGTGTCGACTTACAAAACGTTCGCCATCTTGGCTGTCACCGAATGTCGTCCATACTATCCCCACAGCTTGGAAATCCCAAGTTTCACAAGGAGTTCACATCAGAATTCTTACAAAAAACACTCATAAATTCCTAATTTAATTCTCAAAACACAGCCCTCCAAATGAATTAAAAATATCGATTCTTTTCCCGACACTCCTAAATAACTTATTACATTTTACCCACATAAGACACGCATCCAACACTCACGACCAATACGAAAACTCATATCTAAAGACCAAATACGAACAAAAACACGCACATTACCACTTCAAAGATAGGATAAAAGAAAAAAAGTAAAGCCTTCGAGCTTACGTTTCTTCCGGAAGGAAGGAACGACCACTTAAAAGGGTCGAGGACTCTCCTCGAATCCTGTATTAAAAGATTCGATTCCGGTAACGACCTCCCGATAACGAAGTGGATATCGGGCGAGCATAACTTAAGTGCCCTAGGGGACCGCATAAAAACCCCTAGAACGCATTAAGGCTCGGGACAAATTAATACAAAACACTCGGCCTTCAGATCTTTAAAGACACTACAACCCCAAAAACATTACAACAAATACAGAAACAACCTTAGGGTTAATCAGATTCCCGTGTCTCCTGTACACATAATATAAACGCGATTTTGGGAAGGATCGTGTTTCCACCCACAAAATTCGCACAAGAGGCAAATAATCTAAAAGAGAATCAAACTTTGACAACCAAAGGACAGTTTTAAATCTACGACAGACTCGCCCCACGAGTGATATAATTAACTCGGAAGTCTCCGCGTGACCTAGATACATCCTGGCATGCAACTCTTACCATTAAAGATATACTTTTTTGTAGCTCTCTACATACATTTTTTTTCTTTTTTCTCACCCCATTTATTAACTTTTTTTTTTTTAAATCCAAATGCTCAATCAAATATTTACCATTTATATAATAACTAACATACCATTTTTTCTTCTCTCTCACCCACTTATTTACATTTTTTTATTTTTGAATTTATCAATGCTCAATCAAAATATTTACCATTTATATAACAACTTCTTTTTTTACTTTTATTATAAACCAATTTTACTTTTTCAACCCCTCAACAATTTTTTTTTCAACGAAAACTCGCTTTGATTTCTTTTAATTATTTTTTTTATTATTTTGATTTCCCAAAGCCCTAACAGAAAATTCCCTTAATGTAGTTCTCCATACATTAAGTATGAATAATTGTATAGGCGCCATTTTAAAAACCACTCAACAATTCCACCAACGCGAATTCACTTTGGTTTCTTTTAATTTTAATTATTATTTTATTTTGATTTCCCAAAGCCCTAACATAAAATTCCCTTGATGTAGTTCTCCATACACCAAATTGAATTGTATAGGCATTATATTTTTTTACTCAACAATTATTTCACCAGCACAATTCGCTTTTACCCTTTTTATTTCACCTATGATACTTGTATATAGCCTCACAGTGCCCCTAATTAATTTTTCCCCACAAAATTACTTTTCTCTCACAAAATTCAATTCAGGCTACCCCGTTTTGAATTCTTCACATGTAGGGGACGCATCTGTGATAATCTGTATATAGCAATATGTAACCCACCACAACCTATGCAATGTATCGTCAAAAGATTTAATAAAAGTTAGGCTTCGCGAAAAAAGGGAACAACAATTAACAGGATTGCATCATCCAGGAAGTAAAGGTCACTGTCCAGGACCCATAAAAGTAAAGTTCAAAGATCTTCTTCTTCCTGGAAGATTGCAATCATGGCGACAATGGGGGTACTAAGCCAATCAGCCAGTTCTATCCCATCCAGGTGTGCTCGTTATTTCCCCTGTGGAAACCCACCATTCGACCAAGACTGCGTCATCAATCATCAATTCAACATAATCCGACATAGGATTCACCACAATTCACCAATCCCACAGTAGGTCGACAGGAGTCAACAGGATTTTACACAGGTAAACAACAGGATCCGACAGAGAGTCGACAGGATCCAACCCGAATTAGTATAGAGAGTCGACAGGATTCAATCGATTCTCACATATATATATACTAGACGAATGGCCCGGGCAACGCCCGTGTTTTACCCGATTGAATGTTTTTATTCAAATACTATTTGTTACAATTATAAATTGGAGCCGTGGATGTCACTCTTGTGAAACGTCCCGCTCCAAACTTTACATGTACATTAGGTCAGCTGGTATTACCCCTCATTTTCACCGCTAGAGGCGCGAGCGAATTGACTTTTTGTAAATATACATAATTATAAAGATGGAAGCTTCTATAGAAGATAATGATCATAATGATGATGCGCGCGCATCCGTGACATGAGGAATTGAGGACAGCGATGAGGAAAGACGGTCGTGACTATATATGTTGATATATATATTTAAAAATAAAGAAGGCATCTCCTGACCACGAGCACGTGTGCTTTTTAGATGGCAGAGCGCCATCTAGTGGAGCAAAAATAAACTAAACGTTTATTTAGCTTGCTCCGAGATATTTGGCCAACCCAATTTCTTGATAAATCAAGAAAAGCCATCCACGAACGCGTTTCACGCTGTTGGCGCTCGTCAGAAGATGCCTTCTTTATTTTTAATATCAACACCTGACCCACTTATCTTTTTTTTTTCTCATGTGTTAAGCGTCTTTACGCAAATTTGGCCTTAAATACCCATTTCTTGATTTTTCGGGAAGCCATTGGGACCAAAAATCTTTTTGGTCGCAGTGGTTACAGCCTTCTCCACGCTGTTCCAAGCACCAATTCAAGCGGGCTCTCCTGTGAGCAGAGGTTAAAGGGATACAGACCATTGGTCGTCTTGCATAAAGAGCACCTTCGCGAAGCCTTCGGTAAACAGTTTGTCTTGAAATTCTCGTTCCAGTAGCACTTGAGAGTTCATTAGAGAGTTGAATAGCTGTAATCTCCCTATGGCGCTTGGCAGTTACGACCAGATAACGGTCTTCAGAGGTAGCTGTTTTTATTTTTCTACCAGAACCTTCTTTTCTTTTGATGGTTCCTGTCTCAATGAACTGTTTCCATATTTTGCTGACCACAGATTTATTCCCATTTAGCCATTTTGCTACTTCAACTTGTTATTGCCCTGCCTCCATTCTTCCAACAGCTCTCCATTTTAAATCATCTGCTAAAATTTTTCGTAAACTCATAATTATAACTAAGGATTAAATAAAATTATAGTTGGACAATTCTTAGATGGGGTAAACGACACGCCAAATAGCACACTTATAAAAAAAGACAAGCAAAAATTGTCATATTTTCAATCTTACCGAATCGAATGGTTGCGATAAATAAATTCTACGACTTAAAATACCTAATTAAATTACTTTTTAGCTTTTAGCGTTGAATATTTTAAAACATATCATTAAAAAACAAAAGTTTCTTATTTTTTGGACACCAGTGTATATAGGTTAGATCATATTTAAAGAAACTCCTTATAAATCTATTGTTCTCTCAGTCATCAAACACACATCCTTGGGTGACAATCTTTCATTTAAAAATATGGACACGCTGACCATAATGTTTTAAAATTATATTGCAGCGTTCTATATCTAGGGAGAGATTTATCGAAAGATATTATTATCCTCTATGTATATATCTTAATATTTAATAATTAATTCTTATGGCTTTTGCTCACGGAAATAAAAATTGTATTGAAAAAATGTAAATTTTAGTATATAGAATGTGTGCTGAAAACATTTAAAAAAAAAGAAGCCTACAGCACCCGGTGTTCCCAGGTGGTCACCCAATTACTGACCGGGCCCGACGTTGCTTAACTTCGGTGATCGGACGAGAACCGATGTTTTCAACGTGGTATGGACGTAGGTACGAGTCTAGGACTGATTAGTCTATTTAAGTTGAATATAAAGTATATTGTAGATCTAAAAATATTATTATAATTAATTTTAGTAATTTAATTTATATTTTTATTGCTTTCTTCAACTCACATTTAAAATATGTTTGCAAGTTTCTAGAGACTCAACAGTAAACTACCGCCATCTTTCAAGCAAGAATTGAACTATTCTAGAAAAATTAATACGATCTCTAGCGATATAGGCTGTTAAAAGAATTCATATGGAAATAATATGTTTCAAATTTTATATTTTCAAATAAATGTGCTATAAGTTTTAATACCTTTTTTTATATATTTTGTATTTCTATAGTTGTGTCTCTTTCATTGGAATTGTTATAGAGAGAAAAATAAAGGTGACACAAACCCAAGTTCCTGGAGCGCAAATCACCAACTACTCAGGTTGTATTACAGCCTATAAGTAAGTATAGTTATGGGAAGAACCTCTTGCAGCAGTGAACCAGTTAATATGTCAAATTATATTGACAAACATATATATATATATTTTTTTTAATCAGGTTTTGGAGGGAAGAATGTTGTCTTCGTCTGTTAGTGAACCAATCTCTCACGCCTTCTCATTGGACGAATGTGGCCATGTTTGTATATAAAGGGGACGAGGGGAATGCGGTGGGAACAGAGAGTGCGTGGATAATCTGTGTGGAGCCACTTAAAGTGTTTTTTCTACTGGCGGTTTTCCCTGTCTGGCTGTTCTCTTGGCATCCCTGTGTCCCCAGTCCGATCCCTCCCAACGCTACAATAAAGCTAAGTATTTTTTTTATTTTATTTAACAAATCGTGAGTTGTTTTATCTCCCTTTGTTGTTAGTGTTGTATTCTTGAGTGTACGCTTTTCTGTGTGTATTAAGGTATTTTAATTTAGGCCCTAGCTTATTCCATTTTTGTGTGTTAAATCCGCAAAAGTAATAACTTTTGTCATTGGCGAGCCCTGCCAGGATTACTGGTGTTTGCACGTTTAAATTCCTGTAATTTTTATGTGCGGTTTTATTTTACTTGATTGAGTGGTTTATTATTATTATTGTACTCCATCATGTTTGTGAACTCAATGCTCAACTTGTCAGTGTTTAATGGGGTTGGTATCGAGTCTTTCATTCGAGAAGTCGAGCTTAAAGCTCGAGTAGGCAAATGGGATCCTGAGGTCAAGGCACTGCTTATGTTCGAGGCTCTATCTCCTGAAGTTAGGTTGAGCTTAGAGGAGATGGGTATCCGTAACGATAGCAGTTTCGAAAGTATTGTTAGTAAACTGAACATATTGTACCCTAAAAAAGCGCGTGGTATTAGGGAATGCCTTAAATTAATAGAAGGTCTTAAGCAGAGAGTTGGGGAAAGTCCTATGGTTTTTAAAGAAAGATTCCTGGCCATTAGAGATGAAGTAGAGTACAGATTTGACGATAGTTTAGTTTTCGAAATTTTCCTCGAAAAGTATAGAGAGGCTATTGTTCGTAGTGAGGCTAAATCAATAGACAAAGCAGTCAATGTCATGGCCACGGAGGATAGTGTAGAACACCGTTGCAGCTTTATGAAAGGGGTATGTTCAGTAGAAGGGGTTAAAGAAATAAATAGCATTAAGGGTGAGATGAAGATGCTTAGTTCCAGTGTAAACAGGATGAAGCACGAAAATGAGCAGTGTATTAAAGACCTTAGGGGTGAGATAGAAAAACTGACTAAATTGTTGGGCGAAATCAAGCTGAGTCCACCTGAGTGTTGGTTAGGACATATAGCTAGTGATTGCTCAAGACAGTCTTCTATGTTTGCCAACCGCAATACTCTTGACAATGCTGAGATTGTGAACATACGTTCTTATGGCGGTGATCAGACTGGAAATCTGCCAATAGTTAAGGTGAATATTAACGGCAATATGTGGCACCTGTTATATGATACAGGAAGCCAAGTCAGTATCATTGATTCTGAAAAGTGCAAGGTCTTGAAGGAGAATTGGGACGATGCACTTAAAACTTTACGTATAGTGTCAGTGACAGGCCACGAGCAGACACTTACACGTGATAAAACCTGTAGAGTTGGTAACGAAAACGGCACCGTGCTAGAAGAGATAAGGTTTTGGCTAATGTCACTCGGAGATAAGGGCTACGACGGGATTCTGGGAATCAATGATATAAGGAGATTGAATATCCAGTTGCCTCCCGTACGGGAACGTTGCAACATGATTTCCTTGAAAACAGAGGACCATGAGTATGTAGACCTTAGCTGCATTGCCAGTGCACATAGACCAATGGTTCCAAGCTCCTTAGATGAGAAATCAGTGAGGCGCATTGAAAACGAGGCCGTAAAGTTGCCACCTACTGAGTTTAACAGAAACTGTGAGTGTAGCGCTGGGTCTGTTAATAGTTTTAGAAAGCCTACTTGGGCTGAGAGGTTAAGGGGGATGCGGAAAGCAAAGGAGACTGTCAAACAGTTTATTTCAGGTAATTCTGCTAAAAAGCTTATGAATCCTAGACCACCTTATACCAAAGGTTTCGACAGAGGAGATCTGGTAATGCTAGCTGTTCCTAAGACTGAAGGTTACTCCAATGTCTATGGGCCTTTCCGTGTGGAATCTAGGGTCTCCGATGTTAACTTTAGAGTAAGAGGGGTCACCATGAACGATGTGAAAGTTGTACATGTCGATAGGATGAAAGCGTTTAGAAACTGACGTTAAGAAGAGTCTTTAGCTCTTGGACTTGAGAGAACTGAATGGAATTGGATCGTTCGGTTTCTCACCAAGCGAGCCTCTGTCAGTTCCCAAAGTATCTAACTTTCTTGCTCGGCCGGTCCCAGATGAGTGCTTATTGGTCCCCCATTAAACTGTCTATTAAAGCATATTATATATGTGTGTGCTTGGTAATCACTCATGATAACTCACGTAGTTTGCGCAGATCTTTGGTTATTTTCCTTGTGGGAGGAACAAGATGGAAGGCACCTGTATGGAACGACCTGGATGCCTTCTTCTCCTCTCTTTAGTTAATCCCTTTTAATCTTATAACACGGCTCCCGTGAGCTTTTCCCCTCCCGACAGCGGGAGGTTTTCCTTACGGGACAATGAAAATGTTTGGGAGATTGGTTGGTTCCTTTTTTTTTTCTTTGGAAGGATACCTTTTGTCAAATTATATTGACAAACATATATATATATATTTTTTTTTTGATCAGGTTTTGGAGGGAAGAATGTTGTCTTTGTCTGTTAGTGAACCAATCTCTCACGCCTTCTCATTGGACGAATGTGGCCATGTTTGTATATAAAGGGGACGAGGGGAATGCGGTGGGAACAGAGAGTGCGTGGATAATCTGTGTGGAGCCACTTAAAGTGTTTTTTCTACTGGCGGTTTTCCCTGTCTGGCTGTTCTCTTGGCATCCCTGTGTCCCCAGTCCGATCCCTCCCAACGCTACAATAAAGCTAAGTATTTTTTTTAATTTTATTTAACAAATCGTGAGTTGTTTTTATCTCTCTTTGTTGTTAGTGTTGTATTCTTGAGTGTACGCTTTTCTGTGTATTAAGGTATTTTAATTTAGGCCCTAGCTTATTACATTTTTGTGTGTTAAATCCGCAAAAGTAATAACTTTTGTCAAATAAGGTTGTTTCAGGGGCTGAAAGTAAGCCTAGGAGGAGAGCCGGAGATGTCGGGTTGGGGTTAAGAATCAGGGCCATTTGTAACTTATGTAAACATAAAGGTAGAGACAGAGTTGAAAAAGAGGTGATCTAATGTTCGCGGCAGTGGATTAATATGTTTCCCAGAGCGCGTGATCGGCGAAGAAGTTACAGTGGCCAATATAGCCGTGCCCTGAGGCGGTTTGTGTTCGCGTGCGTTTGGATGTGTGCGAGTGACAATTGACAATCTGCCGGAGGACGTTGGAGGAGAACCTCCGGGAGAGCACCAGGGCTGCCTGCTTGGCTGGGGCTGTGGTCCTGCGCGGGACGACCACGCCCTCTCATGCCCATGCCCTCTCAGGCTTCTCTCCAGATGGATATCTGTGGTTGACGCGCCGGCCAGGCTCGACTGGACTTCACTGCGGCGCTGCGCCTTCTCGGGCCACGACGCCGACATTGCGCTTAGGTTGGCCCTCCATGCCCTGCCCAAACCCGGACCATCCGGCCTCGACCAGTTCATTATGCCAGGCCTGCGGTTCCGTGGATCTCTCCCTTGACCATCGCTACTGGAGCATCAGGCGTATCAGTCCCCTCATCATCGAAGCCTTCAGTGTCCTCGGGCGACCTCCTGACCTGCGGGCCTGGATCTTCGGGTCTGGCCTCGAAGATGACGACTTGGCCATTCTGGCGTCGGCCAAATCCATCATCTACCGGTAATTCGTACAGGTTGGGCTGACCGGAGGAGCAGAGGACCCGCTCATCGCCTGGGAAAGACGACTCACTCGCCGGGGCACATCCCCCGCATGATCATCTATATTTTAGTTCATTCATTATTTCCGTTTTTAATGTAAATTATTGACAAGAAGTCAATAAAATTTGTTTCAATTATCATTGTGTGCGAGTGTGTGTCTTGTGAATAGACTATTGTCCAGGCTTCAACTGCAGCTGTAACAGCTGAAAGTAGGTTTCAGAGAAGTATGTAGTAGGAGGGAACCAGGTTGGAGGCTGTTGTAGTCTTAGCTGCTTGGTTCGCCAGTACATTTCTGCAACTTCGCTGTGAACCCAACAAATGTTGACCTGTGGAGCTCCTAGAATTATCTCAGCTATTAGAGATGATACAAACTGATGCCCAAGTAGATCGAAAATAAGACGCAATAGCGACTCTTGGGTTGATAGGCATATTTTCCCCGAGGTGGGCTGCCCAAAAATATGGCTATTAATTTGGCTTTAAAAGTCGAGCATTCAGGGTGAAGGCTGAGTATTTTTTATTTTTTAATGGAAGGATAATTGAGGCATCGGTCTCTGCTTTATATTTTGATCCATCTGTATGTATGCTTGTCATAATCTAGGCCAATGGAGTTTTTTTTTTCTTTTTTT